TTGCATGCGAATACGTATTACGAAACTGTTTTTCCCACCGTCTCCAAACTACTGTTTGAATTATTATTATTATTATTATTTGAAAGTAGGACGGAGGCAGAAAATATTACAAAAATGTATTATCTACGCATGCATCTACGCAAGAGTCACCACCAGCCAATTAGGACATGTGTCAAAGTATTGAACGTTTTCGTTCCCTTCTTGTCAAAATACTACAGGGAATGATGGAAATAAGCTAAAAGGTTACAACTATAAGGAAAAGAAGTTCAGAAAAATATCACTCCAATTATGTGTAGAAGTGACACGAAAAAATAGATGTGAAGAATCAAGGAAACAGCATGCAAATCCAATAAGTGACAACAACGTAGTGACAAGAAAAAGAGAGAAATATCAAGGGATCTATTTCGCACCTTCACGACGAACAGTGCCAAACAACTGCAAAGACAACACATTCTCCTTCTGAACGCAAAGCTCAGGGTCTAACTTACGTATGTACAAAGCTTCCAACACGGCAAGATGTAACAAAGACCTACCACGCGACAAAACAGAGAATACATCATCGGAATACCACTCACGACAACTAGCACTGCCAGACAGGTGACACTTGATTGCCGAGGTAAAGAGTAAAGAGACTCTGTCCGCAGATTGAGTTACTAGGGACCTTTCGCATTTGCTACGAATCGAATGCGAAACAAAAGTTTGATTTGGCTCGTAATCGTTTCGTTGAAAAAGGATTCAGGTTTCGCAAGTCATCATGCGAATGACGGAATGTGTATGGCAACTACTAATACGACCGGTAGCTTGGCGTACGGGTGTTTACACGCACACGTGCATCGATCATGGAATCAAGGGAAAAAATGTGTACCTGGCACAACATGTGTGACTAGATCTACCTGGCCAAATAAATGTGTACCTGAAGCCTAGTTCACATTCGACAGGGCGCGACGGGACGCGACGTAAGGATCGACGGGATGAACACCAGGAATGGGAACACAACCGTACTGCCGTATGGACCGGGAAGCGACGGGAAGAGTTGGATCTATCCAACTTTTCATACCGTAGACGGGCGTAGACGGGGACGCAAACGTACAAAACAGCTGCATTTTGAGTGTGAACAGGAGACGGCGTCGTGCGCCGACTACTCCCGATTCGTACATGGACATTTTTTGCATTTCGAACACGGCGCTTCCCATGATAACTCGCAGAATGGCTAACACGTATTGAGTTGAATTTTAAGCAAGATAAGGTCTGATGTGACGTATGGTATTTAGGGATAGTTCAGGAGCGTGACAGACGAACTGTTTTATCATTTCCTGGAGCTATTATTTGTAGGGCTCAAACGATTAGTCCGATTAACCGGTTTCAGACCGGTTACGAAGAATTAACGGTTAACCGATAAAGATAACGGTTGCACAGTAACTTTTCAGTCAATTTTTCAAGTATCAGGTCGTTGCAAAGTGTGCACTTTCGCGGGCTGTCGCACGGGTACGCAATTTCTGGGCTGTCAACTCGGTCATATCTGGTCACTTGCTGTGAGAGTATGTATGAATGAGCATGCAAGAGAATGCACAAGTGCGCGTTGTACTGAACAGGGTACATTTTTGAATGAGTATAGTCAAATATACGGTTAAAAAAGAGTCCGCAGGATTGCCGTGGCTTATAGGTTATAACCGGTTAACCGACCGTTAGCTTAGCAGTTAATCGTCAGGGGTAAAACCGTGACCGTTTGAGCCCTAATTATTTGAATGGCACACCTTTCGAAACTACTTTTTTGGTCTTCATGCAAAACTGGTATTGTGAACATGATTCCGCTTCATTCAAGGAGAAATAATTGAAAAGAAGTCCCGAAAAACAAGAAATTAAGTCCAAAAGTCACCCTGCTGTGTTGCCACACCTGCCGACATGTCAGTAGCCTGCCGATTTTTGAGGCATGTCACGACCTGCAGACAATTGACCTTCTCCTGCCGACAACAGCCATGAAAGTGTTCAAGTTTGACCTTATGCATGGTTTAGGAGTCGTGATCCAGATTTTTGACTTTTACTGCGCATCACGAGTGTTTCCATAGCTCTCTCCTGAGGCGCTAAGCGAAATCATCATGTCTCGGGGAAAAATCGGCAAACTCAGCCTGAGTGTCACACAAAACCATAATTTTTTTTCTTCTTATCAGTGCCGCATGTGTGTGTATCGAGGTTGCTATAGGGGAGGGAGGGGGGGGGGGGGGGGGGGGGGGGTCCGGGGGCAAAGCCCCCGGATGATGCATTTTATTTTTTCATGCTACTGATATTTGGCTAGAATGATGTGGCAACACTGCCCTGTCACGGATCGTGCCTTATGACTGGCGCCGTTCGCTGTTGAACGACGCAACGACTACAGCATGTTGTGTCGTACAAATCGTACAAGATTTTACAGCTCACCCCAGCCTTCCCGACAGGCCCTTACGTCCCGTACCGTCAGCGTTGCGTCGAATGTGAACTAGGCTTGACGGATTCGGAGCGTGCCACGAATGAAGAGGCTTCCATTCGTGAAAACGAGCTCACCGCAGGGACTCTGATGAATCCTCGAACCAGGTGACGAATCAGCATTCGTTTCGTATCCGTACGTGTGGTGCGAAAGGTCCCTACTGTAAAGAGATAAACTATCCGGCGCGCAAATTTTGCGTTTTCAAGAATTCGGCTGGTTCACGATGCATGAGAAACTTTCGCGGCGCGCAAATTTTGCGTTTTCAAGAATTCGGCTGGTTCACGATGAGAAACTTTCGCGATTTGATCTACTCAGTCGTACTGTCTGTAATCAATGACGGAGCAATTTGTGGCGATTTATATTCGCAAATGTGTGGTGGTCGCGAAAATACTCTAATTTCAGAAATTTTCGGTGTTCAATATTTTCGGTATGAGGTATTAGTGTTTGTTCGGTGTATTGAAATTTTAGGTATGAAACAGACGCACCGAAAGTACCGAAAATAAAAGTACACCGAAAATTTGTGAAATTATAGTAGCGAAATTTAATCTCTAGCGAAAGTTTCTCATTTTACAGTATCCTTACCAAAAAATGCAGTGATTCTTGAATGCAGTGATTCTTGCACTTTCTTGCAAAAAAACAAGCTGGAAAATTCTGAGCCAAACCAGAGTTACGGGAATTTGAGTGCATGCCACTTCTACATCAGCATTGTTTTCACGAGACAAACATAGTTCGCACGATAAGTTTACTACTCAGTCTGTGAATACACCCATAAAGTGACACACGTTAGTTACAGATTTTGGTGTGGGTAAAAATATTTACAAGCCAAGGTGCAACAGAGAGAATGTGTTTGGAGCAGCCTAAATCTCAAGAATCCTTGCAGTGCAGTTACAGTGAAGAGGCAGTAAAGTTAAAGGTGACGTTTAGTAGGAGAGTTCGAACATATAGTAACGGCAAGCGATTTTGAATAGCAGCCGGTAGAGCAGAACAGTATAGATTATGGACAGTAAATTCATCCAAACATGGCTAGTGAATGTTGTGTTTCTTTCGCTTCAAGCCACGGGTTGTTACGTATTTGGTGTACCTTGATGCTTCCAGCAGGCCCAACATGATGAGCTCCTTTTCTGGTTTCTCCATCTCTGCAAAATTGAGAGATGTTTGCTGCAGTGTTCCTGCATCAAATTTTCCGAGACAGATTTTGTTGCATCCACAGCTGGGAGTAGCATTCACGGCTGCTTGTGCAGCGCCACCACTCGCCACTGCAGCAGGCTTAGTAACCTGTGCTCCACCAAAGTAACACATCGCTGCTGCTTCGGCGCTGATATCTTCTTCGACATCGCGATCACTGTCATCATCGTCATCGTCGGAGGAACGAACTACCAAATGATTATCAACAGTAGATCACACACGCTCGGCGGAACTTCCACTTCGTGTCCAAAAATATTATCATCTAAGTTGAGAAGAGCCTCGTGGAGATCACCGTCCATGGCGAAGGGCGGAACGAACGACATCTCACTAATAACTTACTTAGTACAAGAAAGCCCGCGAGTTTATCTTCCCAAACAACAAGCAACAGAGCTAGAGAGAACCTCGACAACACCTCTCTCTCTCAAATCCGACAAAATTTCACAACCCCTTCACTGATTTCCTTCAAATAAAGACGAACGGAAAGCTTGGGATATTCTCTTTTATTTGTGCCCCAAAAATTATCAAATCGACAAGATCTACATAGAAAACGAGGAAAAACTAAGCGAATTTAAAAAAAATTCAAAATGTTCATAGGTAACGGACGGAACTTTCCAAACGCGTTTTTTTCAACTGCAGTGCGCGGTCCAGTAGCACACGTTTGCCACCACAGACGTCATTTAGTATTTTTAAGCCCCCATCCGGTACCAAACACCCATCCTTTCTCCATGTAGAACGAAATAATTATCAAAGTCGCAACACAGTCTCTTTCTCTCTTTCTCTTTCTCTCTCTCTCTCTCTCTCTCTCTCTCTCTCTCTCTCTCTCTCTCTCTCTCTCTCTCTCTCTCTCTCTCTCTCTCTCTCCATGATTGCTTGTCCAAAGCGCGTATTCTGAGCCCACTCAGATTGGTCATGGTCTTCAGTGGCATGTCGCTTGCAGCAGCGCTTGCCTTGACTACCGTGGCCAGGTTCGATTTTGGGCGTCCACACACCGGTGCATCTCGACGGAAGTAGTTGTCCATTGCCTGCTGTGGCGGGGCGTCTGAGGGCATCCTCAGAACAATACCCAGCATCCAGAAACGGCAGACGGCAACGGTGTGCGAGAGAGGCTGTGTGTGTGCTCTGGAATATAGGTCGTAGGGAGTAAGCACCAACCAAATTTTAAATGTCATAGATGTTGGTGTGAGGAGTGCAGACCCACTAGAAGACCGGCTGGTTTAGTTCACCACACTCCAGAAGTCATGCAAGTAGTGTCTTGTCAGTAGCACTCTCATATGGCCTGTGTTACACTGGATCAAAGGTTTTCATGACCCAACATGTACTTTTCACTTTGCCCCTTTCTTTGTTGTTGTTGCAGGCATCATGGACAGGAACAGTGCTCATCAGTACGTCTTGGCATTGGGTCAGTAGCTTCTACCTAAATGTTACCGTATTACCACTGTTGGATCGGCCCGTTCTTCACTCTAAATTGAAAATAGAAATAGGCACTCATATCTCTCTTATCCGGACCTCAAAGTTCCCATCCTGGTATCTCGGTCTACCAGGCACCCTGTGGGTGCGTTTTAGTAGAAGTATCACTACTTGGTCCGCGTCAGCAATATTGTCGCTTATCTTTCAGCTTTGTTTTTATGCCGCCAATGCTCACCTGGCAGCCTATTCATCCCAATTTTGGTTAGTAAGTAAGTGTACTCCTTTACAGTTAATTGGGAAATCAAGGCCTGGCACGAGGGAAGCATGGGATTAGCGAATGGGATTTTCAGTCTTTGACCACTTTGGTGGGTCTGATCTAATCACCTCCCACCGCTTTGCAGCAGCATCTGTGCCTTGATCCTTGGGGTGGTGGCGTTCCTACGGATGCGGAACACTTCCAGCCGAGTCTCACGCGAACCGTGAATTTTTTGTTTGTGGACAGTGCCCGGTCTAGGACCGAAAAAATACAAAAGTTGAAAAATGAGTAGGGTGGTGTGCTATCGGAGTAAAGTGTGTGTGTGGGGGGGGGGGGCATCAGATTAGGGGGCACTAGGCCCCTTACTCCTGTTGGCTAGAACCCTGATAGTGAAGGCGAGGTGGCTGGAGGGGGGGGGGGGGGGGGCATGTGCATCACATCACGGACATTATCAGCACAATGCCAGGTGATGGAAAGAGGGAAGGATGGATGGATTCTGTGCACCCAGAGTAACATAACTATGAGCTTTTAAAACGCTCCGAGTTATTGTACTAGTATTTTGTGCGATGCCATTATCATTATTAAAGACTCATCGCTGGGCACAGCAACCAATGCCGGCATATATTCAAAAATACCAAGTGGACTTTAAAGAAGCAGGAATAATTTAAAAGCATATTGACAGCAAACACACCTGGCGAAATGGCGATAAATACACGCCTGGCCACACGCCCTCTTTAAGCTGCAATGTTACAGTCTGGCATGTTGGCGCGTGTGTTTTACCGCCATATGAGTCAGCCATAAGTGGAGCTGCAGTGCAGTCTTCAATTTTATTCTTCAATTTTATATCGACAGCGTTCAGAGCATTGGAAGACCAGCCAGCGAAACCCATAATGATGTCCCAGGGCAGATGTGACACCCAAAACTACAGCACTGAAACAATGCAAGTGCGAATTGTAACAGGAAAGGCAAGAGTAAACAGCAATATGTGTGTGAATAATAAGTGACTTGCAAATCAAATAGGAGAAAGTGCTAGTACGACTCTGAACAGCATAATATTTCACCTAGAACAATAACGGCTGCGCTTGGCCACACTTAAAGGGGAAGTTAAGGCAAAAATTAAAATTTCACCAGTTGTAGTCTTCGGGGTGCTGAGTCGAATGGTCTTGGTCCGAGAAAGCTGAGACGCTCCCTTCCTACTTGAATCTAGGGGTGAAACGGTTCGGGTAAGGAACCGGTTTTGGAACCGCCAGCTGAAAAGAATCGGGTACCCGTTCCGTCAAATTTCGAACCGAAACTCGAAAAATCTCGTTCTCATACAATTACATGTACACGTCAAGTCTACTCAAGATTTTAAATGTCTTACCTTACGATCCCCACTCTTCCAAAGAGTTCTCTGGTCATTACATGTATCTTCTCCGATGTCTCATTGATCTTGTTCGTGAAAATGTTTTTTTTCTAAAAAATAATTGTTGCGAACGCATTTTGTCGGTCTGGAGAAAAGAGTGCATGGAACCGATACCTGAACCGTGGGAAACAATGCTGGCATTCGGGGTACCCGAACATGAAAAACATGGAACCGTTTCACCCCTACTTGAATCCCAATCGAACTCGCGCACTTCCACCGAAACTGGGTGACTGCGCCCTACTAGATGGGGATTTGTATGCAAAATGTCACTAAAAGCGCCATTGCGTTCTTATAAAAGCACGGATGACCGCGATTGGCCCATATGTTGTACTCTTTTGGACGCTGAGTCGACTGGTTTTGGTCCGAAAAGGCTGCGATGCAGCGTTCCTCCTTTATTCCCAATCGAACATGGTTGAAGAAGTGGTCACGTGCTCTTGGGTGCCCCAATCACCTGGTCACCACGCCAGCAGGCGACAACTTTCACACCAAGGTTCAACTCGAGTGACAGGACTGCACCCAAAAAAGGTCAAACAGGCTAGTAAGTTGTACCCTGCAGGCACGGTGACCAGGTGACTGGTGTACGCAGCAGCACGTGACCACTTGTTCGACCATGTTCGATTGGGAATAAAGGAGGAACGCTGCTTCGCAGCCTTTTCGGACCAAAACCAGTCGACTCAGCGTCCAAAAGACTACAACATATGGGCCAATCGCGGTCATCCGTGCTTTTATAAGAACGCAATGGCGCTTTTAGTGACATTTTGCATACAAATCCCCATCTAGTAGGGCGCAGTCACCCAGTTTCGGTGGAAGTGCGCGAGTTCGATTGGGATTCAAGTAGGAAGGGAGCGTCTCAGCTTCCTCGGACCAAGACCATTCGACTCAGCACCCCGAAGACTACAACTGGTGAAATTTTAATTTTTGCCTTAACTTCCCCTTTAACACAACATGTCACTTGAACAATTTCAACGTAATAATGCTATCCTTTTGTACGCATAAATTGGGTTTGTACAGACGCTGATAAATGGCATCCAACACACCTTAACTGCAAACCATATCCATGAAGACCACGGCACAATACAGTGAAGCAAGAATCAGAATACGAATTGTAACAATCAGGACTTGCTGCAAGATGACTGTACACTGAAGATGTTCTACTACGACACTTGTGTACAGCACAATGACTCTCACCACCACTATTCTGACCATTCTCCTACTCGCTCTCCCACTCCTCACTGGATTCATCACCATCCACCTCCTCTGCCGATTCCATGTTCGCTCTGTCCATCAGGGACTGCTCCACCTGGTTTGACTTGGCCGAAGACATCATGCGGCTGTCTGGTCCCTCAATGGTTCGTCTGCGTGTGCTCGATGTGTAACACGTGTTGTTGTTGGCTGTTGATCGTCTTGGTCTGTTAATGGTTGCATTGTATGGTTGGTTGGCTGTGGTTGTTAAGGTCTCCATTGTTAGTGGTGGTGTGGTAGCTGGTGACACATAAAGTACTTGTTGCAGCTGTGATGGTGTTGTCTTCGTTTTTCGTGGCCGGCCACGGGCAGGCTCCACCGCAGGCGGAAGATCAGGGGAAGGCAACGGCATTGGGAACGTAAGTGGCACCGCCTCAGCCAGAGTTCCCTGAGTTACTGGCGAAGGATCCACTGAGGCCAGCAGCAGAGGCGGTGACACAACTCCGTCCGTGCTCCGTCACACCTGTCCTCCTCCGCCAGCAACACCAGTGAGGCAAGCACTGTCGGCCAACTATAACAGGTGTTACACATCGAGCACACACGGGCGACCCATTGAAGGGGAAGTATACCACAAAATCAAATGTTCGCCAGTTGTAGTCTTCGGGGTGCTGAGTCGAATGGTCTTAGTCCGAGGAAGCTGAGACACTCTCTTCCTCCTTTATCCCCAATCGAACTCGCGCACTTCCACCGAAACTGGTTGACTGCGCCCTACTAGATGGGGATTTGTATGCAAGATGTCACTAAAAGCGCCATTTTGTTCTTATAAAAGCACGGATGACCGCGATTGGTCCATATGTTGTAGTCTTTTGGACGCTGAGTTGACTGGTTTTGGTCCGAGAAGGCTGCGATGCAGCGTTCATCCCCTATTCCCAATCGAACACGGGTGAGTGAGTGGTCACGTGCTCATGCGTACACCAGTCAACTGGTCACCGTGCCTGCAGGCTACAACTTTTACAGTGTTCCTGTCACTCGAGTTGAACCCTTGAACCTTGGTGTGAGCCTGCAGGCTCGGTGACCAGGTGACTGGTGTACGCATGAGCACGTGACCACTTACTCAACCGTGTTCGATTGGGAATAAGGGCCGAACGCTGCATCGCAGCCTTTTCGGACCAAACCAGTCGACTCGGCGTCTCAAACACTACAACATAAGGGCTAATCACGGTCCTCCCAGAACGATATTTTTAAATTTATTTTGGCCACTCGAAGGGCAAACGAAACAGTGCTTTTGTGACATTTTGCATACCAATCCCCATCTAGTAGGGCGCAGTCACCCAGTTTCGGTGGAAGTGAGTGACTTCTATTAGGAATGAAGGCGGAAGGGAGCGTCTCAGCTTCCTCGGACCAAGACCATTCGACTCAGCACCCCGAAGACTAGTGAAAATTTGATTATAGGGTATACTTCCCATTCAAGGGACCAGGCAGCATGTCTTCGGCCAAGTCAAACCAGGTGGAGCAGTCCGGGACGGACAGAGCGAACATGGAATCGGCAGAGGAGGTGGGTGGTGATGAATCCAGTGAGGAGTCGGAGAGCGAGTAGGAGAATGGTCAGGAGAGTGGCTGTGAGAGTCATTGTGCTGTACACAAGTTTCGTAGTAGAAAATCTTCAGTGTACAGTCATCTTGTGGCTAGTCCTGATTGTTACAATTCCTATTCTGATTCTTGCTTCACTGTATTGTGCCATGGTCGCCATGGAAATGGTTTACAGTTAAACATGTTGGAAGCCACTTGTCAACATCTGTATAAACCCAATTTGTGCGTACAGAGGGATAGTATTGTTACATTGAACTTGTTCAAGTGACAGGTTGTGTTTAGTAGAGGGTTTACGCTTCACGTTTTTTCAATTTCGAACGTGAGATCTCACGGCCCAAGTGGCGCATCTTACGTTGCAACGTGAGACTTCAACGCGACAGAGGGCCATGTCATGGTGAGAAAAATGCGATTCGACGCACGTTTTTTTCTCAAGTCCGAAATTGAGAAAACAGGAAGCGTAAACTCTCTATTGTGGCCAAGCGCGGCCGTTATTACCATTATGTTCATTTCAGGGATGACCCAGAGGCTAGTAGCCTATCATTGTTCTGGGTGAAATGTTTTGATGTTTGTATTAGCGCTTTGTCCTATTTGATTTCTAAGTTAATTTTTAACACACACATTGCTGTTTGCTCTTGCCTTTCCTTGTACACTTTACACTTGCATTATTTCAGTGCTGCAGTTTTAGGTGTCTTATTTCTTACTTTGGTTATTCTTATTAGTTCAATTATGTTGCCATGTCCTTTAGACTACAATGAAGATTCCTGATGAGTGTTATACGAAAACTTGTTTGAATCCTAATCGTTCTCTTCACTATTTCTTCATTGTTTTATTGCACATTGTCTCCACCATTTTACACTGCATGAATACAGTATACAGTCAACTTTGCGTATAACGACACTCGGTGGGGCATCAAAACAGTGTCCTTATTCGCGAAGTGTCGTTATACCCGAAGTCGCATTATATGTATTACAGTTGGAAGGGACTTTGCTCTGGGCACGGAAATGCTGTCGTTATTCGCGAATTGTCGTTATATCCGCAGTCGTTATTAGCGAAGTAGACTGTACACAAATGTCGATTCAGCTCGTCTTATCGATTGCGATACTTAATTTTTTTGTCTCCTCGCCGTTTTTTCTAATGCTAGTATCAAAAATCAAAACCATTTTCTGTTCTCTATATGATTCGTGTTTTCGAAAGTATTGTGTCCTTACCGTTGTGTGGGCTTGTGTTAATGCAGTATATCAAAATGGATGACATCAGATATAGCACAGAGAAGCTTGGTAAAGTTCCTCTGTGATCGCATCGGCTATGAAGAAATGTGTTCTTTGGCCGATGTAGCCCTTGGGACAGAAGGGCTCTTGAACTCTGGCCAGAGGAAGGTCGACAATGGTTTTTCTATATCACAGGATCGTGAACCAAAGAACTGGCTCGCTACAATGATCAATTTATGGGCGAAACAAGGACCTGGAAACGAATCAGTACTGGAGTGCATTAATCTGCTGGGACTGGAGAATGGCGACACTATATGTGAAGAGCTCAAGCGATTGTTTGGGGTAAGACATGGATTTGTGGCTGTGGAAGCAAGGTATGGAGTAAGAATGAGGTGGGGGGGGGGGGGGGGGATCAGCATGTGGGCACAGGACATGACTAGCCACATGGATAGTCACGTGACAAAGTCAGTTGACCTTCCGTGTGCATGCATTATTTTACTTATATTGGTGAATTGTCACATGACCATACATAACTTGCCACAGGCTAAACATTCATTGGTTTGAATTGCTTGTTTCATCATCATTAATTTCCATGAAAATGTAAAGAGAAGGTCTTCCATGCACAAAACAATCAAAGAGAATCAAATGTAAATGTGATGTGGAGAAAAGAGCTTCATGGGAGTGATGAATAGTATTGACAAAGCGGATTTTTGAGCGTGGAAGCAACAACATAATTATAATCAAAATGAATGAAAAAGGTTTCCTTATCGATTTTTAGACATAGTCATGTGGGAAATTGTCTGAACATTGACAACGAGCTAGGGAGAACATTTAATATACGTGCAGGGGGGCGTAGAGATGTGAAGTGTGACAAATTAATGAGATGGAGTGTGCTTGTTACCGGCACATGTGTGGGAAGTAAAAGGACGGATAGGTAACGAAGGAAAACAAGTGAGTTGACACTGTGGTAATGCTTAGCAGTGCATGTGTCTGCATGTGCGTGAATGCTATGTGAACAATGTAAACTTTGTGACGTTTTCTAGGTTATGATGAAAGATGGATCATGCGGCAATTTGAGCAACATGTATGTTATTGGGGGGGGGGGGGGGGGGGCGTGCGTGTTTTCCTAACCACCCATGGCATTGTTTGTGTTTGTGCTTGCTCGTCTTGTCTCTTCTTTGTTTGTGCTGCATTCTTGGTAATGGTCAGCTCGATGAAGACATGAGGTTAGTTGAGCTCTATTAGAGATAAGCAATCATGTTCTGCATAAATTGTACGGCTTGCTTGTTCACTAACGTTGAGACGGATATAGCCAGTGATGCTTTGAACCCCGCTGAAGCACAAGTAATCACTTGTAGCACAGTCAGCGAGTACATCTCAGTATAGGTGTGCTGCTCTTGAGATAGAGAAAAAGAAGAAAAGAAAGATCCGCGGTTCGCGTGAGACTCGGATGGAGATAGAATTTTCCGCATCCGCTGGGACGCCCCCACCCTCAAAGATCAAGGCGCAGATGCAGCTCCTAAAGCGGTGGGAGGTGAGTAGATCAGACCCATCACCAAAGTGGCCAAAGACTGAAAATCCCGTTTGTTCTTGAGATACTCCTTACAATAAAAAAGCCAACGAGCTACGAAAGTCCCAACAATTCTTCCAACTCTGGGCAGCTTATCATATTGTAATGCGTACTGTTCCGTGCGATGAATCTGATGACTTCGGCATGCCCCCAGAGTAGGTGATCAGCTGAAAATTGGCAGAAATGAAAACGACAGGGTGCGTAGTGTCTGTAACACTGATTTTAATGGCCTTGGGCCAAAGAAGCTGCAAAAAGCGGTTCTCCAATCCAGCGCACATCTGTTTAAGGAAGATGGGTTTGGGTTAAAGGTTTGCTGGAATCAGCAAAAAAGGCGCCCAGGACAGTACGTTGCTCATGCCGGAGCGCACAAGAAAATACAAGTCATGATGTTGACTTGCAAAAGAAACTTTCGTTTGAAAACTCGAATTTCGACAAATGAACTTAAACCCCGAACTGAATTTCGGATTGCAAAACTGACTAGTGTTGCGAGCGTTTGCGGAAGAAGTTCAAGTCGGAAAATCCATCAGCTTCAAAGGCTATCTGTACAGGGGTATAGCTTGCACATCTGTGTTGTGGTGACCATGTACCAGAGCCCGTCTGTGGTGACCATGATGCACCACAGGCAACCTCACAGGTGCCATTTTTCCTATTTTGACTATGTAGTACCTATGACGGCCATTTTTTCTGGTGCGGTTACTGGACTACGCTGACTACACACGATCGAGCTATGCGCCTGCTGTAGGTCGGTGATGCAGCTCCAGGTTAAGACTACAGTAGTCAGGACTTGCAAATTGTCGAACATTGTGAACCAGCAGATCTAGAAGTAAAACTTAGTTTAAATCCGAGCGTAGCTGGTGCGGTATGATCGATTTGCCATGCTGCTGCTGCTGCTGCTGCTGAGGTGTTGGTTGTCAAATGCATGCCGCATTTTTCGAAGTATAAGCCGCACTGGAGTATAAGCCGCACTGGAGTATAAGCCGCACCCCCCCCCATTTTTTTGCCACGAAATACAGACATCTACTCAATTTTTCATCGTTACTTTGATCATCGGACTATAATCCTCACTCCCATTCTTTTCTTTTGGGTGAATTCTGAGTGTTTAAAGTTGTTGTTTGTTTGTATTCTTTATTTAGAGTGGGAAGTCCAAAACAGGCCCTAGCCTAATAACAATGGTCCCACTAGTGAGGGAATGCTGTATATCTGTGCATAAGGATCTGTGAGTGTAACAGCAACTAGTAGGGAAAGCTAAAGTGCGGCTTATACTCAAGAAAATGGGGTACCTTTGGTTATCGTGTAGTATGAATTACAGTCAACTTCGCTTATAACGACACTCGGCGGGGCATCAGAAAAGTATCCTTATTCGCGAAGTGTCGTTATCCCCGAAGTCTCATTATATGTATTACAGTTGGATGGGACTTTGCTCTGGGCATGGAAATGCTGTCGTTATTCGCGAATTGTCGTTATATCCGCAGTCGTTATTAGCGAAGTTCACTGTATGTCTGTACAATAGCCTTTTCCCTGTCTGTAATTCTCTCATCTGATGTTATTTGGGGACTATAACAAGCCACAGCCTCCCATACATTTCCTCGTTTCTGATGATGATCATACACCGAAACGTAGAAAGAGTAACATAATTTTTGAGTAAAGAGTAGGAGGCAGTACAATTTGAGGTGTGGCTGTTAGCTAACGACGTAATTGGCGAGGCATGTCGTCGCTAAAAAAAAAGGTTCACATACCGGGCGGGTCAAAAACCACCTTTCCGCTTCCGTGGGAAGCCACCACCCCATGATCGGGCCTCAGATTCGGCTCATAAACGGTAAGGGAAGATCAAATCCACAAACCAGAGGCCAAAGGCCGAAATCCCATTTGGTACATCCAAGTTTTCCTTGTGCCCGGCCACAAGTTCCCAATTCACTGTGGGTTGCAGCACGGCTGGAAAAAATCCTTCCACTTACCAGCAGAACTTGAGCCCGGTGCCTCTTGTTTCTCAATCATGGTATTAGACCAACCCACTGTGCCTGTCTACGGGTCAGCGCTATGTAGCTAGTATTTCTTTCATGGGGAGTCGATCACCTAACGAATGTTCCTTTCCTCGCCGAGAGCTAGCTGGCCTCCAAACTCCGTCAGGGTCAGCCTGGGGTACCGACAGTCCTTTGACTAGCTGCCCGCAGGACTCCCTGAAATCCTTCAGCTTCAGCTCGGCGAGAAAAAATCTCTTTCTCCTCCGCCATGAGCTGATACATACAAACTAAATGAAAAACTATGCACTTGACTCGAGCTGGCTTGCACGCCTTTCACGAACCCAAAACATCTTTTCGGGATTGGTCTATTGAGCGATTTGTTCGAGGTGCTCAGCAAGTCGCCAGTCGCCAGTTTGATGTCTAAAAACTGCAAGGTAACTTTGATCGGTGTGCGAACAAAGTGGGTTTGGCTGCGCCGTGTTGTGAGCAGTAGTGATATGACCCCTCATTCTCGTACCTTGTTTCAGTGCGTATTTTAGTCAATTTTCAGTTTTTTATAATTTGCACAAAATCCAAAGAACCAAACAGTCATAACGGGTGAATGAGGTCTATCCAGGGATGAAATCGGAAATTTGGCCATGTCCGGTGATATTTGGTCGTTACAGACACTCTTAGATATTTATTTAGAAACGAAAACTAGTCGTTTTTGGGGGGGGGGGGGGAGCGCCTGTTCGTTTCTCGAAAAGTATCGATGCACAGTTTGTATGTACAATAATTATATGTGTGGGCACGTCCAGAAAAAAAAGAAAAACATCGATACTATGCGTCGTTTGTATGTGTTCGTTCCGGAGGGAGGGGGGAGGGGGTTGAAGAGAAACGACTAGTTTTCGTTTCTAAATAAATATCGGTATTTACGGATGGCACCTTATACAAAAGAGAAAGGACATAAATTAATCCTTGGCTCTCCATCCTAGTCCATTACAGACACTCTTGTTAATAATATTATTATCCTGCTTGGCTGTTGAAAGCTATACATGGCAGTGTCGCCAACCGCCAACCGTAATTGTCTGTATTTTACGGAAAAACGAAGTTTTGTCCGCAGTACGGATTTCAAACGAATTATCCCAAAGACGATCATGTATGTTCGACTATTAAAAACTTCGTAACTCCATAGTTTCTTGTGCAAATTCAACAATCGAAGGATCTAAGTGGTAGCGAAAACTCCAAGCTGTCCAATGCAACAATCGCCGAATAGTTACGATGTCGGACTCCAGAGATACCGCGCACCGTATTCAGGTATTCTCACCTTGGCAAATTCAAATTTTTGATCGATCTCTTCGCCAATTTGGGGGAAAATCCCTTTTCGCCTGCTCTTTGGGCGACTGAGCACATCATAATGATGTAGCCGGCTGAAGTTTAAATCGCCTCAAAAAAATGTGAGCGTTCTGCGACGAAGGAGAGTGGAATGGTGTTGGTGGGAGGAATTTGCATGCATATTACTAGGCGTGGAGGCAACTTTGCTGCGTTAGCGCGCCTGATTTGTGACGGCTTCATATTGGAACTTAGTATCCTGGCGTTGCTCCTGCCAAGAGCTTTCCAACGAGCCCTGGACTTGTAAAAATCAAGCAAAGTAGACCAAAGTTATGACCCAATGAAGTTGAAAATTGTACTTGTATTAGGCTTCACACGTGAACTCTGTGGCTGGAAAAGTTGTACAGTACCGGTTTTTTCCGAATTACACTAAGGCTGCGTTTACACGACAACGCACGCCAGTTTTCCGTTTTCACTCACGCATTCCTTTTTTCGTTTTC